TTCGGTAGACAGAACAAAGCCAGGAGACATTTGAGAATTTGAAAACTGTGTTAGCCACCACACCAGTTTTAGGCACACCAAATTTCTTGAAACCCTCTAAAGCCGCTATCAATGCATGTGATGTAGGGGTTGGAGCTGTGTTGAAGATGATTGTTTATTGAAAGGCTAACCTGTTATTTTTCAAAGAAACTCGATATCCACCAGAGAAAATATTCCACCATTGAAACAGAGTTATTGTGTTTGGTACTGACCTTACAACATTTTAATGTTTATGTTACAAACAATGTATCGGAGACGGTTGTGTATACCAATCACAACCCTCTCACTTTTTTAGAAAGATTTAAGTATAAGAATACAAGACTGTTTCATTGGAGCCTTGAGTTAGAAGCATTTACTTTGCAGATTGTTCATGTTGTGGGTTGTAAAAATGTTATTGCAGATGCGTTATCGCGCGTTTAAAAGAAAAATGCGTACATAACTTTGAACACTACCGATTCAATGTTATATATGTATGCAGAATTAGTATGAAATGTGTAACTTTACATTACTGACCTATGTATTTTGTGATAATGGTGTTAAGATCAAAACAAAGAAGCCATCTTTTCATAATGATGGTTCATTTTTTTAAGGTGGGGTATTGTGAAGTTGTGTAGAATACTTGCAAATTGGAAGGCAGGAAGTTAGAATTTGTTTGTTAAAATGATAGGCGGGTAAGATTGTGTAATCCCTTTGTGAGGTGATGTGCTTTTCTAAGCTTGGAGATTTAAACAAAAATGTGTCTGTAAGCAGCTGAAGAGGCACAGACAATTCTGAAATTGAAACATGTATCAGTTGACTATGTGACTGGAAACCTTAGGCTTGTTTTGATGTTTTGGCAACTAGAAGATCAGCCAGTTAATTTAAACCAAGCACTTAGAGATTGAAAACCAACTGAATTTAAGTCTGTGGCTTTGACAACCTTTGACCTAAGAAAATTGACAGGTCATTGGGGGTATATATGAAGAAGGTTTTTTGAAAATCAGTGTGAGAACGAATTGCCATCTGAAGAGTAAATATCTGGCTCTAACAGAAATCTCTCAGCTGTCTGAGAAAGCACTATCCATTCATAAAGGTACTATAACACTCCTAGCTAAGATTCCTGACAGAAGAATTTACAGAGAAAGCATTCCTGACAGACGGTTCAGCGGAGAAGGCAAAGAACATTTCGGAAACTTAACCTGGCTGTACTTTTGACAGTCAAAGTTTTAATTTATTTTTATTACTACTTGGGTTTATATAGGTGGAATTTGTGTTTATTGGAACAGCATACCAGTAGAATTTTGTTCAGTTAGATAATAGTTAGGAGTTAGGGGGGAATTATTCGATTTGTTGGTAGTTCTGTTAATTTGTTCACTATTAGGATTAAATAAATAAATTGTTACATGTTGCTTATAAAGTGAATATCAGGCATTTTCTTTCATTTAACCACTCCCTTTTAACAGATTAGGTGAGGTGAGGTGAGCTTTGCTGGGTGTTTTGGGTTCAATTATTAGAAGGGGACCTCTACTTCCGCCATAATAGATTGGGGGGCTTGTGTTTCGATTTTAATTATCACAGGAGTTCAACCTTCCTTCCTAATAATAGTGAAGAAGGCATTTGGTATGCTTGCCTTTATTGGACAGTGCATTGAGTGTAGGAGTTGGGAGGTCATGTTGCAGCTGTACAGGACATTGGTTTGGCCACTATTGGAATTCCATGTCCAATTGTAATCACCCTGCAATAGGAATGATGTTGTGAAACTTGAAAGGGTTCAGAAGAGATTTACAAGCATGTTGTCAGGGTTGAAGGGCTTGAGCTATGGGGAGAGGCTGGGGTTATTTTCCCTGGAGTGTTGAAGGCTGAGGGATGACCTTATAGAGGTTTATAAAATAATGAGGGGCATGGATAGGGTGAATAGTCAAGGTCTTTTCCCCAGGGTGGGGGATTCAAAAACTAGAGGGCATAGGTTTAAGGTGAGGGGGGAAAGATTTAAAAGGGACCTAAGGGGCAACTTTTTCACGCAGAGGGTGGTATGTGTATGGAATGAGCTGCCAGAGGAAGTGGTGGAACCTGGTACAATTACAACAATTAAAAGACATCTGGATGGGTATGTGAAAAGGAAGGGTTTAGAGGGATATGGGCCAAATGCTGGCAAATGGAATCAAATTTATCTAGGATATCTGGTTGGCATGGACAAGTCAGAGCGAAGAGTTTGTTTCCGTGCTGTATATCTCTATGACTCTATAAGAGCCGCCAGCAATCACTTAGCTGATCCTTATTAATTCACTGCCAACCCAGTAGAGGGTAAGTTCTTGGAGGAGATTCTGAGGGATAGGGTTTAGAAACATTTGGAAAGGCAAGGACTGATTAGGGATAGTCAGCATGGCTTTGTGCGTGGGAAGTTGTGTCTCATAACTTGATTGAGTTTATTGAAGAAGTGACAAGAAGATAGATAGACATTGCCTTTGACAAGATTCTGCATGGTAGACAGGTTAGGAAGGTTAGATCACATGGGAGCCAGGGAGAGGCAGTCTGTTGGATTCAAAATTGGCTTGACAGCAAGAGACAGTGAGTGACGATAAAGGATTGTTGTTCAGTCTGGAGGCTGTGACCTGAGGTGTGCTGCAAGGATCTGTGCTGGGTCCACTGTTGTTTGTCATTTATACAAATGGTTTGGATGAGAACATAGAGGTTTGTGGAATACACCAAAATTGGTGGTATAGAAGACAGCAAAAAAGGTTATCTAAAGGTACAACAAGATCTTGATCAGCTGGGCCAATGAGCCAAAGAGTAGCAGATGGAGTTTAATGTACTTGATGAAGTCTAGAAGGATGAGGGAGGATCTGATTGAAACTTAGAGAATACTGAAAGGCTTGGAATAGAGTGAACATTGAGAAAATGTTTCAATCGTAGGAGATACTAGGACCCAACAGCATAGCCTCACAGTGAAGGGATGGCCCTTTAAAACTGAGAATGAGGAGGGTGCAGACTCTATGGAATTGTTGCAGAAGGCTGTGGAGGCCAAGTCATTGAATGTCTTTAAGACAGTGTAGGAGTTGTTGATTAGTAGGGGTATCAAGTGTTACAGGGAGAAGGCAGGAGGATGAGGTTGAGAAAAACATCAGCCATGATAAAATGGCAGAGTAGATTCAATGGGCTGAATGGCCCAGTTCTTCTCCTATATCTTATGGTCTGAGGCATATTATTTCAAAACACAGCAGCAAGAACAACTGATGAGACAGCACCAGAGGAGAGGAAGGCACACTGCAAAGGACAGCTGCATTGAATTAGGCTATCAAGTGTCTTTAAAATGAAATAAAGGTTCGCTCCCAGAGCCCATTCTGGAAGAAAGGTGGAAGAAATCTCCAACTACTCAACTACAAAGCATCACACTGCTGAATTCTGACTTCAGGTTTACACATCTTTCACTTTGAAAGATAAATCTTCAAGCAAGTAACTGGCTTACAATGATAATGGATTGAACTGACTTTCAGTTTTATAAATACCTTTTATTTGTACCTACTTTTAATCACAGATTAATAGAATTTTACTACCAAAGGAGGCCATTCAACCTGTCATGTCCGTACCAGCTCCAGTCCCATTCTCCAGCCTTATCTCTGTAGCCCCCTAACTTCATCACTTTCAAATATATTTCCAGCTCTGTTGAAACCTCCTAGGAAATCTGCCTCCGCCACTCTCCCAGGCAGTGCATTTCAAAACCTAACAACTATCTGAATAAAGAAGAGTTTCCTCATCTCACTTCTCGTTCTCTTTCTGAAACAAACTTGAAATTATGACCTCTAGTTATTGACATACCAAGCAGTGGAAACAGAATATCCTTCTTCACCTCGTCAAAACTGTTCATAATTTTGAACACCTCAATAATGTTACCCATTTTACATTATAATCATGTTATCTCACTAACCTTTGATCGTGTATCAAAAATAAATCTTTGCTGCTGGTTATTTTTAAACTGTCACATGCAAACAATCTAAAAATGTGTTCAAATGAACCATATGATCTGGAATAAGGCACTGCCTGAAAGGGGGGATTCAGATTCAGCAGCGCTTCCGCGCTACACCATTCTGGTTCTACGTGCAATGGGGCAGCTCCATTTACAGGAGCTACAGTCCGTAAAGAAGGACGTGAAAACTCCGCCCAATGCACAAGAATCATAGTGACAGCGCTGTTTTAACATAACTCAATCTCATTACGTGTTCTGTGAAAAAAAAGCTCGGCAATGCTGAAATCTAGCAAACTATTTTGTTTACTATTCTGAAATGTGGATGGCTTTTTCTGATAATTAGCCTGAAATAAATCAGAGGCTATTTCCCTATTGCTTAGTGTCATAGAATCTCTATAGTGTGGAAACAGGCCATTCAACCGACCCTCCGATGAGCATCCCACCCATTTACCATGACTAGTCCACCTAGCCTGGACACGATAGACAATTTAGCATGGCCAATCCACTTAAACTGTACATCTTTGGAGTTTGGGAGGAAACCAATACAGGCACAGGGAAAAAATGTGCAAAACTCCAGTCCAGGTTTTCGGGGGGGGGGGGGGGGGAAGGAACGTTAGCGTCGAACCTAGGTCCTTTGGGGGCACGAGGTATCAGTACTAGCCACAGAGCCACCGCGCCACCAGAGCTTACTGAAACTCCATGAACTATTGGGCAACTGTGGGACAGGGATGAAAATCAAGAAATGAGCCGGCAATTAATGAGCACGTACAAGTGAATGGGAAACAATCCTGCCAAGAGCGGAGGTCTCAGGCTATTGAGGAACGACCACTAAGTCCTGTCATTCGGGCCAGTATGGCTTGTTCAGCGAGTTACATCCAGTGAAAGGAAACTGTACACGTTTACACGCACGCTGGCCCCTTTACAAGGAAACACCCCACCCCCTTCGCTACTTGCTGTATTTTGTGGTTTATAGAATAAGAGTTCACGCCCAATTTCTTTTTCCAAGTTTGCAACCAGAATGAACAAACCTTTAGCAAAGAGGATTTGGTGTTGTAAGACAACGTTTCTTTAACTAGAAATAACGGGGGCGCCTGCTATCTCTCGCTCTTCAGTTGGAACGGTCTGAGTAAGCTCTTTGGTGTGTGTGTGGAACCGCAGTGTGGGTGGAGTGTACCTGCTCAGATCACAGGGTGGAATTTGGTCGAAGGTGTTCCAAACAGGAGAGAGCTGATCACCGCTAACTCGCTAAAGACAGCTCACAGCGACGAAGATTGCAGTCCGAGCTCAGAGGGCATCGGCGCCTGGTTCAGACAGTCCACAAACGACAGTTTGGAAATAAAGAACCCATAGTATTCAAGAGGGATTACATCTTAGCCAGAGTTGCAGAACTGACAGGCGAGTACAGCGAAAAATCGTCAATTTCTTTTTTTAAAAAATGGATCACATCACTTTTACTTTCTGTGATTCGATAAATCTCGAGGTCGTACAGACTATCGATGCGTTTGGACTGAATTGGCATGATATTGCCACAAATCAGCAAATGTAGATGGGGGAAGGAAATCGGGGCTTGTGTTTTTGTCTGTCTGAGGCTGCTGTCGACGTTCTTAACCAGCCAGAAATGCAGCAGGATTTCCTTCAAAAACGGTTTGTGGAAACAGATATATATTGTTTCAACCGGGCTTTATTAACAGACATTTAGACCGACAAGCGGATAGGGAGGTATTGGTGAGATACAAAAACAAGACAGTGCAGGAGAAACTTAGCGGCTGTAGCGGCGTCTGCGGTGAGAAACGCAGACTTCAGCGCTGCGGAGAGAGGCATGTGGATCCCGTGCGGCCAGATGAGATTAGTTTAGAATGGCATCATGGCTGGCACAGACGTGGAGGGCCGAAGGGCCTGTTCCTTTGCTGGACTGTTATGTGCCTATTCAGTCAAACTGTGGATTTGGGAATATTTGTGATGTTGGAAGCAGCTGGGCTTTCGAAACGTATTTCCTGCCATTTGAAAGCCAGCCGAGTGGTTGAGAGAGGGAGGTATAGTGGGGGATGGGGGTTGGTGAAGGAAATGGAGAATTTTAGAATGATCCATTTGATAATGTCAATTCAGCGGGTACGTGTAGTGACTACATTTGGTGGTTAGATGGATCGTTCCTACAATGCACTGGTGGGTGAGAATATTGGGAGACAATGTCCCCACGACCGCTAGTCTTCACCTTCTGGGTAAATCGTTTTGAACTAGGAGCTGACACTTAGTGAACTCGGAAAAGGGACTTAAAGGCAAAAACTTTGTAGGGAATCGCTTCTCCAAATTACACGGATTGCGTGTGGGTGGGTGGCGGGAGCGTCTCCGTTTTTTTTGAAAAAATGATAAACTATGAGAAATTATTACCAGTACTTTTTTAAAAATCTTATTTGGACGATTTAATTTTTATTTCTGAGATGGTAAAAGTTTGTGGACAGCTGGGGTTTCCATCCTTTTATGCAGTCATGTGAAATTCAACTTCACACAGCTACACGAGTGTGTTTTATTACTGTCAAAGGCGCTGGATTTTTTTTTCTAGAATCCCTACAGTGTGGAAACAGGCCCTTCGGCCCAAAAAGTCCACACCGACGCTCAGATCATCCCACCCAGACACATTCCCCAACAACCCACCTAATCTACACATCCCCGAACACTACGGGCAATTTAGCATGGCCAATCCATCTACCCTACACGTCTTTGGACTGTGGGAGGAAACCGGAGCACCCGGAAGAAACCCACGCAGACACAGGGAGAATGTTCAAACTCCACACAGGAAATCGCCCGAGGCTGGAATCGAACCCAGTCTGTCGCTGTCAGGTTGCAGTGCTAACCATTGTGCAGCCGTCCCGCCCCAAATTTGCTCATGCCCTCCATAATTCAAAGTCATTTTTTTCTTTAAAATTTAAATTATTCCTGTCAATTGACGTGATAAGTAATACAGCTGAAAGAAAATTCAAAAATAAAGAAAATAATTATCACATCATTTGAATTTTAAAAAAAAACTTTAAATCAGATGGAGCAGCCTGGTGAACTGAGTGAACTCTGAACATGCAAATAGAGAGTAGAAGCTGTCCTAGCCTACTCTGCCGCTCAATAAGATTATGGTTTATCTAATTGTAGCCTCAATTTATTGTTCCAGCCTGCTCTCAATTACTAAGATAGGAATCAAAAGTTAAGGAGACATACCTTGAATTCAAAGGAATTTGGCACTATAGCCACTCCCAAATATTGTTCAATAAAATAAACAGAACACCAAAAGCTTCTCTCTAGTTTCCTTACACCTATTTCTGACTCAGAAGTTTTCACGCCCATTGACAATCAATATTCAATATTACTGTTCTCAAATGGTTTGAAGCTACACTCAGTTCTGAATGGTTCAGTTAATGTACAACTTATCCAGATGAGCTGGAAATTCCTTGGAATAATAAAAAAATTGCCCTTAAATTTATTGACATTTGATACAGCAAATACAACTGATTGTACACTTTGCACCCAGGGACTGTTAAAATCAGCCTGAACTCCTGGTTCTAATCTATGTTCTGTGTCTTGGAATTTAGATAGCACTTTTGAACGAGAAAAAAAACCTCCCAGCCTTTCTTTGGAGTGTTATCAAATACAGTGTGATACTAAACAGAGATAACTGATCTGATGGAGGTGGAAGCAGGTAGCCTTGATGAGCGTCTGTCTGAAGCTCATTTGTAAGGATGTAATGCCAGGTTTTTAAACAGGTTGTTTTAGGCTCAGTTACCAGTGAGAGAGATGAAGTAAATGGCTAGGAAATGGAGTTTGTGGCAGAGACAAAAGGCAACGGCTTTAGTTGTTCCAACATTTATTTGAAGGAAATTCCTGCTCATCTTTATGTGGAGAATCAAGGATGGTAAAGGATCAGAGAGATAGTGGTGGTGACATAATGCTGGATTCATGTGAAGCTTGATTAGTGTTTTCAAAGTGCACGGTTAACTGTTAGGTGAAAATGGAACTAGGCTTGGCTATGTTCACCCTGACGACTGAGGAAACAGCCAACCATCATAGTCAACTTAAATCTGCATAATAGGAACCATGGACCATATCCCTTAAAACCCTATTTATCAAAAATTAACAACTGATCTACCATCCACTGCTATTTGTGGAAGAATATTCCAAACATCTGCACTCTTTGTGTGTGGAAGTGCTTCCTAACATCTCACCTGAACAGTCTCGCCCTAATTCTAAGAATTATGCCCCTTATTTCTAGAATCCCCATCCAATGGAAATAGTTTGTCTTTATCTACACTGTCCGTTCCTGTTAATATCTTGAAGACTTTGATTAGATCATCCCTTGATCTTTCAAATTCTAGAGAAAACAGGCCTACTTTGTATAATATATCATTTAAACTTAACCCCTGAAATCTGGGTATCATTCTCGTGAACCTACAGTCTCTTCCCTCCAAGGCTAATATATCCTTTCTAAGGTGTGGGACCCAAATCTGCTCACAGTACTCCAAGTAGGGTCCAACTAGGGTTTTGTATAACAGCATCACAACCTCTGCATCCTCATACTCTAATGAACTGTTGGACGAAGTACCAGGACATGTGGCATCATGGGAGCAATGCTTTGAGCAGAAAGTGGGGAGGGGGAAGTCAAATTGTTTAACACTCATGTAATTGTAATGGATTGGAGAAAAAAAATAGTTCTCTGAATTCCAGTTGCAATTAAAGTTAAATATTTGATGATATTTAGAAACACAACATATGGATGTTAAGATTAATTAAGATTGAGGAAACTGATCAGACAACATTTTTCCATGAGGTAATGTAGATGTGATCAAAACTGATAAAATTAATGAAGATGATTCTGGAACTACCTAACTTCTAAAAAAAACGACTGTAAAATAATAATTCCTTAATTTTACTCAAAATTTCATACAAACAACATAGAGGGGTGAAAATAAAATTACAAAACATCTAAGTAACACAAATTCTGATAGGAGCAGTTACATCCAGTAAATAAATTCTGAATTTTCTCTCAATGTAACTTTAATTCTCCAGTTGCTGATGGATGATTGGGTCCATCTGAGATAAAGTAGTCATTGTGTATGTTATACTCATGCTAATATTGTTGGTGCTTCTTGATTATTGACTTGCATTTATATTGTTCTGTTAAAATAGAAGAATCTGCTACAGACTTTCATAGAAGCAGTGCCAAACAAAAGAAACTATGCCAAGAAAAGGACTTGCAAAGATCAGCCGAAATGTAGGTTTAAGGAAGGTCTTAAATGGATGGGGGGACCTGGTAAGGCAGAGAAGAATAAAGGTGCAGAATCTAAGAGCAAGGTGCCCAGACAGAGGCACACTTAATTCACAAACAAAAACAGAAATTGCTGGCAAAACTCTGCAGGTCTGGCAACATCTGTGGAGGGAAAGCAGAGTTAACACTTTGGGTCTAGTGAACTTTGGTTTTGTTTCTGATTTCCAGCATCCGCAGTTCTTTTGGTTTTTTTGTTCATGATTGTCAGTGGTGGGGTAAAGGGACTTAGTGATACATAAGAAACCAGAATGAAAGAACTGCAGAGTGAATGAAGGTTTGGAAGTGAAAGCTGGGAGAGACCATGGAGGGAATAAGGCATTAAGATGAGAATTCTAAGATTAAGGCAGAATTTTGGGTTGAGCTGAGGTCTACAGGAGGTAATGAATTAAAGGCTGATCTGGAAAGCCTGGAGTAGTTGAATCTGGATGTGACAATGCAAGGGTGACAGTTCGAACAATGGATATGCAGGTTTGCAGTGTTGTAGGTTGGAGGTAAGCTGTCTTTGTGGTAAAGAGACCTAGGCGGTCAGAAACCCAACAGACACTTCAGTCCAACTCGTCCATGCTGACCCAGAGATCCTAAATAAATCTAGTCCCATTTGCCAGTATTTGGCCCATATCCCTCTAAACCCTTCCTATTCAAATACCCATCCAGGTGTCTTTTAAATGTTGTAATTGTATCAGCCTCCATCACTTCCTCTGGCAACTCATTCTATATAAACACCACCCTCTGCATGAAGAAGTTGCCCCTTAGGTCCCTTTTAAATTATTCTCCTCTCACCTTAAACTTACGTCCTCTAGATTTGGACTTGCTCACCCCAGGGAAAATACCTTGTCTATTTACCCTATCCATGCCCGTCATGATTTTATAAACCTCTGTAAGGTCACCCCTCAGCTTCTGATGCTCCAAGAAAAATGGCCCTAATCTATTCAGCCTGTTCCTATATCTCAAACCCTCTAACCCTGGCAACATCCTTGTAAATCTTTTTTGAACCCGTTCAAGTTTCACAACATCTTTCTTATAGCAGGGAGACCAGAACTGCACGCAGTATTTCAATAGTGACCTAACCAAAGTCCTGTACAGCCGCAACATGACCTCCCAACTCCTGTACTCAATCCACTGTCCAATAAAGGCAAGCATACCAAATGCCTTCTTCACTATCTTTTCTACCTGTGACTCCTCTTTCAAGGAACTATGAACATACACTCCAAGGCATCTGATCAAGATTCTGTTGTACTCTGAGGTAACTTTCTTTGCTTTCATTACACCTCCAATTTTAGTGTCATCTACAAACTTACTAACCATACATCCTAAGCTCAATTTCAAATCATTTATATAAATGATGAAAAGCAGTGGACCCAGCACCGATCCTTGTGGCACATCTCTGATCACAGGCCTCCAGTCTGAAAAGCAACCCTCCACCATCACCCTCTGTCTTCTACTTTCAAGCCAGTTCAGACTGCGGCTCTTCAAGAAGACAGCCCATCATCACCTTCTCAAGAGCAAGTAGGGACGGGCAATAAATACTGGCTAGCCAGTGATGCCCATGTCCCACGAGTGAATAAAAAAAAATTCCCTGCATGCAAGGTGATAACAGGAATGTTCAGATAACTTTGCCCAGTGTGATATTTTGCTGCTGGAAATTCTTATTGCATGACAATCAACAGGATGATATTTCTTATTATCAGGGTGGAGATGCATCTGTCTTCACTCTCCACCCCTGAGTTTAGCAAGACTTGTGAGGTCAGTGGAGTTTGTGTTAATGGTGTGCTCAACAAATCTTTAGTGCTCTTCACCATCCATAAGTAGATAAAAAATTCTAAGAAAATGTTTCATTTTGGGGAAGAGGTGTGCATTAGGATGGGTTCGGGAGTTGGATAAGTGTTGTACCCACCTCAAAGAACTCAGAAATTGTTTTCATGGCAATTCCTGATGGTAATCCTGGTCTGAATCACTGATGTGTCCACAATCCATGATGTGTCCAAGCAGATCTATTTGCACCATCTATTATAGACTGTGTCCATAAAAAAATCCCAAGAAATAAGAATTGCGCTGCTCAGAGTTCACTCCTGAAGTTATAACCATGGGACCACTGACATGGAAATTGATTCTTCTGACCCAATTTATAACTAGGTGAACTAATAGAAAGATCACTTGAGAAGCTGCAGAAGTGGGCCAAGTATTTTGGACTGCTGAATTTTCTTCACATCTCAAAGTCTGTGGGGTATAAAAATAAAGTTTCGAACTTCAATTGTAACCTCAGCTTCAATCCGTTCAATTCTGATTTTATTGGAGCTGGGACAGGTTCAGGTGATCAATCTGCTTTGATCACATTTTAATAAGGCTGCGTGCCTCACATTGTAACTCTATTTTAAATACAACAGGATACCTGGCAGCCAAAGGGACATGTGAATGATTGTATCGAGGGGTTAGTGCTTTTCCAGCACTGCTTGTGGATCAATGGGAGCAGCAGGGCGTTTCCTCCACCAGTCCTGAAGCTAACTTGCTTTCCTTCCTGTGATTGACACCCTCCACTGTATGATTTGACCCTCCCAAAAATTTACTGAGCCCTCCCCCGCACATGATCACTGACCCTCCAACTCTGCCCCTATCTTACACCCGCTACAAGCCCCACTTTACCATTTCCACTCAGTAGTAGGAAAAATACCTGAGGTTGGGATTATAAAGTGGGGCAGATTCTTTGCCTGACAGTGAGTTGGATTTGTTAATCTGCTGGCTTCAGGCAAGAAACCTGAACTATGCATACTGCAGAGTTAAATTCTGCAATGTCCATGCAGAATCCCTCACCACTTTTGATGTGGCCTGTAAATTCAGCACCTGCACAAACCACATCTGTACATCCCAAATGTGAACTCTGATTGGTGTTTGAACTTTGATATACAGGCAAAATATAGACATCAATAATAATTATTTTATAGGTGTCATTACCTGCAAGAGATCTCATGCCAGCTGCAAATATTGGAAAACATTGCATGTGTGGAGCATTAATGGATGGAAAACCTTGATCTTGTGATTTCTGCTTGAACACAACTGCCAGTAGGTTCCCCATCTGAATTTCCTGTGGGATTAGATAAAATAATTATTGCCTTAACCAAGGAAATAAGACTCTGAAGATGATGTTTTATTTTTGTACTTTGTGAACCTTGCTTTTCTATCTTGTCAATTACTTTATAATTGGGTAGATTTGTAATTGTATAGATTTGAAGAAATCCCAAATCTGTTCTTTTATTTTACAGATCAATACCACATTAGCAACCATCGCTATGGTGAGGCTAACGTTCGTAACTACAAGCATTGCTGTATTTGTGGCTATTCAGACGTTTGCTTTGATCGTCATCTACTCCAGACAAAACGTTCAATTATCAGTATCTAATAACCAGAATAACAAGGTTCACATTCTTATTCTTTCTTCCTGGAGGTCAGGTTCTTCCTTTGTGGGGCAAGTATTTAGTCAGCACCCTGATGTTTTTTACTTAATGGAGCCTGCCTGGCACGTGTGGGTAAATCTGTATCAAAACAGTGCAAAGGTCTTGCAAATGGCTGTTCGAGACCTTATACGATCTACATTCTTGTGTGATATGTCAGTATTTGATGCCTACATGAATGAAAACAGACTAGTGTCTGATTTGTTTCAATGGGAAGTCAGCAGAGCACTCTGCTCACCTCCTACATGTGACTATTATGAAAGAACAGACCTCAGCAATGATGAAACTTGCAAGAAACATTGCAACATGTCTAAATTTTTTAAAATGGAAGAAGCATGCAAAACATATAATCATATTGTGGTCAAAGAAGTGAGATTCTTTGAGTTAATATCACTGTTTCCCCTCCTTTCTGATCCCTCACTGAACCTCAAAATCATCCACCTTGTTAGAGATCCTAGGGCTGTGATGAAGTCTCGTGGTAAATCATTCCATGCTCTAATGAGAGACAATGGAATTGTTATCGGCGCTCATGGAACACCCATTGAAAAAGACAAAGCTGAAGCATCAAACTATGAAGTCATGAAAGAAGTTTGCAGAAGTCACATACGGATTCATGAGACAGCAACCAAGCAAGCTCCAGACTTTCTAAAACAACGCTACATGATGGTGAGGTATGAAGATCTAGTAAGAGATCCGCTTAATGAGATATCAACAATGTATAAATTTGCTGGTTTAGCTTTAACTCCAAAACTTAGGTCTTGGATATATAACATCACACATGGAGAAGGAGCTGGATCAGCATTCAAAATAACATCTCGGAATGCTAGAAGCATATCACAGGCATGGAGGACTGAGGTGCCATTTGAAAAGGTTTTAAAAGTACAGGATATCTGTCAGGGAGCCATGAATATTCTCGGATATCGATTAGTTCGGTCTGAACGTGAACAGAAACTATTATCTCTGGAGCTTGTCTTACCCCTGAGAGAATACAAGTTTAGATGGTTGAGTTCTGCTGAGGACCCATCTTAAATCAGGGATGTCTTTTGGGCATCAAAGAACTTATATTGTGTTTGTCTGCTGTTTTTGATTTAAGAAAAACTCTATGAATCTTGTATGAAATGCACAAAGATTGCTGGATCCTTACACAAAAACTTTTGAGCTGTCATTGCAACATTGTCACTGGCTTCAAAAATAGGCCAGGTGTTATTTTATCTTCTGTGATAAACAAAATAGGTCTCCAAATGTAGTACTACAGTTAGAAGATATGCACATGAAAAGATGTAATGAATGCTATATTTAACTGTTAATTTAGCAGTGGGATTATTTCATTTCTGAGAGGACAATGCATCTGTGATGAATTCTTTTAATATGTTTTGGTTTAATTTAGTGAAGACAAAATTATTAATTTTAAAATTGGGTGACTTGGGCCAGGAAGTAAAGTAGAAGGAAGGTCCCATTGCTGTTTCATGGATTGTTTAGAAAAAAAACTATGTAAATTGCATTTCTGGCACAAGCTCACACGTGGAAATGAGTGGAACATTCACCAGAATATTTAATGCATAACATTAATGGGCAGAATGTTGTGAGAAATGCATCAGTGGTTTCCCATTGTGTACATCCATCTGGCAAAAGTCACTCAATTAATTATATATTTTACTTTAAAGTTTACATTTATAGAGGGTTTTACTTTCAAGTAAAGTGTGTCATTCCAAGCACTACAGGGCAATGGGCAACAGTTCAGAAAAAAAAATCTTTAACTTATTATTTGATTATTCTTTTTGATGTAATCACAGTAAAGCACCAAGCTCAAAACAATAGATCATATTTCTAGCCAATGGAAGTTGAATGAAGTCCCATATTGGCACAGCACAATGAAAGTAAATGTCTCTCTATTTTTCCCAAAAATGCGCTTTAATCTATTTTCGGAAGAAAATCTCATACCGCACCAATGCCATTACAGTTTTATTTCTGTTTTCCGTGCCAGTCATCCTTGGTGACTATCCAAATTGAATAGCAACAGAAATCTTGGTATCGTCCAAGATTAGCCATGTACTTGATGAATTGCTTCAGATCTAATCGGAGCAGGTTCATGAGACAATTGAATATGTTAAGCTATTTGAACTCAGTTGAACAGTAACTGCTTACTGGGTTTTCCTTTGAAGTTCACACACCTATGAACACACCCAGTCACATACACTTGCTGAAGCATACCCATTCACATAATGGGCAAATTGTTGGGTTCTTGATTTATGATTGTATTGTAGTCACTTGGCACCAGTGTTTCTACAATATATGCACTCAGAATTCAGAGTGTACCAGTTCCTTTTGGCTTACGATTCATTAATTATGAGTTATTAAAAATTTGGGTAAAATTATTTTTTGTCTCTTTGCATGTGATACTGCTCTTTTCAATGTGGACAGTGGACATTTTGTCTGATACCTTAAGCCTTATTCCTCTAAATCTACTATGAATTGCAGATGTGAGCCAGTTAAATGCTTGAAGTAGCACTTGGAAGATAAAGTTATGTTACAATTCTACCAGCAACAACTTGCATTTAAAGAGAACTTTTATCATAGGAAAATTTCCAAAAATGAGAAACAGGTGCCCAGGCAAGAGCTAAGGGAGACAACAAAAGCAACAAGATGCACAATATCCAAGCTTGGACTAATAAGTGGCAAGTAGCATTCATGTCACACAAGTGTCAGGCAATGACCATTTTCAACATGAGAGAATAACCATTGCCATTTGGCATACAATGGCAGTACCATCACTGCATCACCCACAATCAACATCCTTCAGGTTACCTTTGACCAGACACTGAACTAGATAAGTCATACAAATACTATAGCTACAACAGCAGTCAGAGACTAGGAATTTTGCAGCAGGTTACTCACCTTTTGTCTTCACAATGCCTTTCCACAATGTACAAAGCACAAGTCAGGAATGTAATGGAATATTGAAATAAAATAAAGAACTGTGGATGCTGGAAATCTGAAACAAACAAACAGCTCATGGTTAGCACTGTTGCCTTACAGTGCCAGGGACCTGGGTTCGATTCAGCTTTGGGTGTCTGTGTGGAGTTTGCACATTCTCTGTGTCTGCCTGGGTTTCTGCCAGTTCCTCCGGTTTCCTTCCACAGTCCATAGTGTGCAGGTCAGGTGGATTGGTCATGCTAAATTGCTCCATAGTATGTAGGAATGTGCAGGATAGGTGGATTAGCCTATGTTGGAAATGTGGTGTTATAGTGATAGGGTGAAGGTCTGGATGGGATGCTCTTCAGAAGGCTGGTGCAGACTTGATGGGCTGAGTGGCCTGTTTCTGCACTGTAGGGATTCTATCATCTCAGAACAAAATTGCAGGAATTGCTGGAGAATCTCAGCAGATCTGGCAGCATTTGTGTTTAAAAAAAAGTTAATGTTTCATGTCCAGTGACCCTTCTTCAAAAGAATGATTTTCTGGAACATAAAATGTTAAGCTATCTAACCTTTCAAAACCATAATAAATAGGAACAACAGTAGGCTGTTCAGTCCCTTGAGCCTGGTCTGCCATTCAATAGGATCATGGGTGACCCAACATCCACTTTCTTGCGTTTTCCTCATAATTCTTGATTTCCCTACTGATAAAAATTTCTCAGCTGCAAATATACACAAGGACTTTGCTGTCTGTGACGAGGTGTTTCAAAGACTCTAAATCCCCTGAGAGGGGAAATTCCTTCTCATCTCTGTCTTATAATGGCATCCCTTTATTCTGAGACTATGCTCTCTGGTCCTAGACTCACCTATGAGGTCAAGCATCCTTTCAGCATTTCAAGCCCCCAAGAGTCCTATATGTTTCAATAAAATCACCTGTCATTCTTCTATAGTGCAATGATGAGAGTCCCAACCTGTTTAGACTTTGCTCATGAGACAATCCCCCCATACCGGGGATCATCCTAGTGAACCTTCTCTGATCTGCCTCCAATGAAATGATATCATCCCTTAAACAAGGGCACCAAATCTGATCACAGTACTCTAGTTGTGATGTCACTTGTACAGTTGCAGTAAGACTTCCGTATTCTTATACTCCAACCCCCTTGAAATGAGATCTAACATTCCATTTGTCTTTCTGATTACCTGCTGCACCTGTGTGTTGGCTTTCTGTGTCTTGTGCACAAGTACCTATGCCCCCATCCCTTTGTGTTGCAGCCTTCTGCAGTTTTTCTTCATTTAAATAATTCTGATCTTTTGTTCGCCCCTTCAAAACAAACAACTTCATATTTTCACGCAATATAGTTAATTTGCCAACTTTTTGTCCACTTATTTAATGTCTCAATATTTCTCTGTGAACTATTGTATTCCCTCTCACAACTTGCCTTTCCACATATTTTTGTGTCATCTGCAGATTTGGCTACAGTATATTCACTTCCTTCATTCATAATATATATTGTAAGCAGTTGTGGTCCTAGTACTGATCCCTGTGCATTCCCACTGGTCACAGGTTGTCAACTTGAAAAAAATCTGTTATCCCCACTTGATGTTTCCTGCCTATTAGCCAAATCACTATCCACACCAATATAGTATCTCCATATCACTGGTTCTAATCTTATGAGGTGGCTTTTGTGAGGTAACTTGTCAAATGCCTCCTGGAAGTCCAAATACAACACACCAACTGGTCCCCCTCTACTATGGTTGAGACTTCCTTGAAAAACTCTAAATTAGTAAGACATGATTTTCCTTTCACAAAGTCATGTTGACTTGGCTTCAGTAGGTTATGATTTTCCATATGTTCTGCTATTAATCCTTAATTGATTCCAATACTTTTCCAGCAATGCATGTTAGGCTAATTGGCCTTTATTTACCCTCCTTTTCCTCCCTTTTTGAATAGAGGTGCCACATTAGTAGTTTTTGAATTTTCTGGTATTTCTCCAGAATTCAAGGATTTTTGGAAAATTACAAACAATGCATCCCACTATCTCTGAAGGTGCCAGTTTTGGATCCTAGATTGCAAGCCATCAGGACCAGGGGTCTTGTCTGCCTATAGCCCTATTAATTTGTCAAATACTCTCCAGTGATATAGTGATGGTACTTAATTCCTACCCTGTGTTTCGTATGAATGGGACATTCAAAGTACCTTCCACCTTAAAGTCTGATGTAAGTTAACTGTTTAACTCCTTTGCTATATCCTTCTTCCCGATAACTGTCTCCCCAGATTCATTTTCTAAGGGGCATATGTTCATTTTGATCTCTCTTTTCCTTTTTACATGTTTAAAGAAGATCTTACTGTCAGTTTTTTAAATATTCTTTGCTAGTTTACCCTCATATTTTCCCTGTCTTTATCAATTTTTTAGTCCTCCTTTCCTTGATTATGAATTCATTCCAGTCTTCAGGCTATCAATGACCTTTGCCTCCTTATACGCTTATTCTTTCAATTTAATTTCCCAATCTTCAGTCTATCACTGACTTTTGCCTTCTCATATGCTTTTTCTTTCAACTTAATTCTATTCTTAACTTTCTTGGTTAGCCATGGTTGGTTTATCTCTCTCTTTGAATCTTTTCTGCTTCCTGGAATATTATTTTGTCGAGAGGCATGAATTACATTCTTGAATGTCTGCCAATCCTTGATCCTGTCATTCCTGTTAATCTGTCCACCCAGTTCACTTTAGTTAACTATACCCTCATTGCATTGTAATTCTCTTTAAGTTAAACACAGCTTTTTTTGACCCAAGTTTCTAACTCTTAAACTGAATACTAATTTCTATCATGTTATGATCATAACTTCCTAGGGACCTTTTTTCAGAGGCCTGTTATTAAACCTGCCTCACTACCCATTAACAAATCCAAGATAGCTTGTTCCCTGGTTGGCTCCATGATATATTGCTCTAGGAAATTATCCCAATGCACTCTGAATTCACTGTTGTAGCTACCCTTTGAACAGTAAAGGAATTAAGGGTTATGGTGAGCAGGTGGGTAAGTGGAGCTGAGTCCATGAAGAGATCGGCCATGATCTTATTGAATGGCACAGCAGGCTTGAGGGGCTAGGTGGCCTACTTCTGCTCCTATTTTTTATGCTCTTTCCAATTTGATTAGCTCAATCAACATGAAAATTAAAGTCACTGTCAATTATTGTGTTTTGTCTTTAAGGTGCTCCTACTATTTATTGATTGATAGCCTTTCCTACAGAGTGTTTGCTGTTTGGGGTCTGAACACTACTCCTCCCAATGTCTCCATATCCTTTTTTTTTACCTCCGCTCAGATGGACTCTACATCATTTGAGCCTAGATTGTCTTTCACAACTGTGCTCATTTCCACCTCTCCTATCTTTCCAAAAGGTTAAATATCCCTGAATGTTTTAGTAAACACTGTAACCATGTTTTCATAATGGTTTGAGAGCATATTAATTTCATAGAATCCCTACAGTGCAGGTAGAGCCATTTGGCTCATTGAGTCTGCACCAACCCTCCAAAGAGTATCTCACCCTATCCCCATAACTCCACATTTAGCATAGTTAACCCACCTAGCCTGCATACTATTGCAGCAATTTAGTATGGGCAATCCATCTAATCTGCATGCTATGGAGCAATTTACCAAGGTCAAACCACCTAACCCGCACATCTTTAGACTGTGGGAGGAAACCCACAAAACATGGGGAGAACATGCAAACTCCACACAGTCACCCAAGGCTGGAATTGAACCCGGGTTCCTGGTGTTGTGAGGCAGCAGTGCTAAGCACTGTACCACTGTGCTATACTTGATTTGCGCTATTAGTTCATCTACCTATTTTGGAATGCTTTGTGCATTAAAATATGACAGTTTGTTCCATTACTGTATTTTCCTACGCTTTTATGCTTCTTTGGTAAAATATGACATTCGCACATTCTGTTCCTTCTTTTTACGTTTTTGGTTACAATCAGCCACATCACTAACCTCCAATCCTACCTTCTTTATTACCTTTGCTTTTCTACTATTCTGTGCAGCTGAACCCATTCCCTACTATTTTGATTAAAGCTTGATCTACAGCACCTAGACATGCGATTCACCAGAACTCTGATCCCAGCATGATTCAGGTGGAGCCTGTCCCAAAGAAGCAGCTCTCCCAGTACTGGAGCCAATGTCCATTTGAATCCAAACCTGTTTCTCCTATGCCAATCTTAAAGTCACACGTTTACCTCTTTAATCTTATTGACCCTGTGCCAGTTAGTATGTGGCTTAGGTAGTAATCCAGAAATTATTTCCTTTTTGGTTCTTTTTTTTAATTTAGCCCCTAGCTGGTCATATTCCCTCAGCAGAACCTCTTTCCTCTTTCTACCTATATTGTTGGTACCTACAACAACTGCATCTTTCCCCACCCACTCCAAGTTCCTCTGCAGCTCAAGGAGATATCCTGAACCCGGGCACC